GAACATTCTTTCACACATCGCACAGTGCATTCTACATGCACAGTCACATGTGTTCCCCTGCACAGTTCAGGGTGCAATTACTGTGGCCTGGTTTTCCTCGAAACTTCAAGTGCTCAAGCCCCATGTGCTGGTGATAGCAGGAAGTCCAACATGCAGCCCAGCTGCTCTCTACAGGGTTCTCACTGCCTCCCGCTTACACACAGAGGGTTCCCGTACAGGCTTCTTGGAAGGAGGTGTCCAGTCCCACGTGGTCCTGTATCAATGCACTGACCATGGTGGAAGGACATGAATAACCGAGCAGAAGCTAATCCTGGTGAGTAATATTCGAGTTGTCAGTCAGGTTCACTACTCCCAAAGCAGACACAGTGGTGGAAGCCAGTGCTCCCCCTAGACCAGAGAAGGGCTCCAAGCCAACCACCCAGGGCCCTTCAATGCAAGCCTTTCCCACAAAGATTTGGGAGGACTGGGCTACACCATTGTTCCCCTTGCCATAACCATTCTTCCCTGGTGATCAACACAAAAGGTGTATTACATCCTTCTCCCAGGACAATGAGACAATTCACCCTCCCCTGCCATTCCCAGAGATACTACCTTTGGGCACTCCACAGTGACTTCCTGTCCTCGCCTAGCTATGCAGTAGATAAGGGAAGAGACAACACACAAATTCAACCTCCAGCAGGGCGCCTTGCTACTCACACTTAACCCTCTCCTGACACACACACATACGTACACATCATTTGATTTAAAAGGGATTATACAATTTATCTTCTTCAATACTATGCTTTTAAAAATAAAAAATAAAAAAAACTTGAGCCAGGCACGGTGACTCACACCTGTAATCCCAACACTTTGGGAGGCTGAGGCGGGTGGATCATAAGGTCAGGAGATCAAGACCATCCTGGCTAACATGGTAAAACCCCGTCTCTACTAAAAATATAAAAAATTAGCTGGGCATGATGGCATGCACCTATAGTCCCAGTTACTTGGGAGGCTGAGGCAGGAGAATCACTTGAACCTGGGAGGCAAAGGTTGCAGTGAGCCAAGATCGCACCATTGCACTCCAGCCTGGGCTATTCAGCGAGACTCCATCTCAAAAAAACAAACAAAAAAAAAAAAAAAAAAAGAAAGAAAGAAAACCCAATAGCAAGTCGTAGACAGTTTTTTGTTTGTTTTGTTTTGTTTTGCTTTGTTTTGTTTTGTTTTGAGACAAGGTCTCGTTCTATAGCCCAGACTGGAGTGCAGTCATGCAATCTTGGCTTACTGTAGCCTCTGCCTCACAGGCTCAAGTGATCCTCCCACTTCAGCCTCCCAGGGAGCTGGGATTACAGGCACACTCCACCAGGCCCGGCTAATTGTTTGTATTTTTTTGTAGAGATGGGGTTTCACCATGTTGCCCAGGATGGTCTCAAACTCCTGGGCTCAAGAGATCCTCTTGCCTCAGCCTCCCGAAGTGCTGGGATTCCAGGTGCAAGCCACCGCACCTAGCCATGTGGATAGCTTTCCATGGTATGATGTTTTGAGAAAATGGTTGGATTGCAAGGCAAATAATTATAGGCGTTTCATCACCAATTGTCCGTGTTCCCACCTCGCACATAACAACTCTACCAACAACAACAAAAAAAGTTTTATGTTCATTGAAGAGAATATATGGAGCTTGATTTTTAACCCAGGGGTTATGGGCCTTTTCAATGTAAAATTATTTCCCAACCGGCCACCTCCGAACTGAGCCTTCTGGGTAGAATTAGTGTGAATTCAGGGTTGGAGATTAGGGACAGGTTGAGAGGTGAGAACAGAAAGGGTGAAGTAAAGTCCATAGGATCTCAGGGCTGGAAGGGACTTGCCAAGTTGTCCAGCCTCTGCTTGGATTCCCTTAGTAACAGGGAGCTCACCACGTTACCAAGACAGCTTGTTAGCCCACTTCATCTTTGGTTAATTCCAGTGGCTTAAAAAGTATTTCCCACGTGGATCTAGATTCCATCTTCCTAAAGGTTCCAACTAAAGGTACCAATTCAAGGTTTCCCTTGGTCACTCTGTAGAGAAGTAGAGCCGGCTCTCCCAGGGCCCATGAGTCCTCTGTTCTCCTGGACAGCATCCCCCTTCCCCTGACTAAACATATCCTCTGAAAACACAGGACTCACCGATGCAAACTCACTCTCATAGTCAGCTCCTAACTGGAACCTCCCTTCACCTCCCAAGAAGCCTTACTCACACAAACCAAGCCGCAGTCTGTCGACTGGTTTTCTCAAGGAATGGAGGGATTTTAAGGCTGCCTCTCCCTGTCTGGAAAGAAAAGCCACTTCACACAGTGAGTGGTTCATAATGTAAAGTGTTCATAACTCCCAAGAGATAGTATGGGCAGGAAATAGAAACAGCTTCCAAATATTTGAGACAGATTTATGGACACTGAGTCACAAATGGCTGCCGTATACTTCACCTTTTGAGCTAGTTTGGTGCCAGAACTCCTCTCCCCTGATGTTCAAGGACCTGTCTCCAGGTCACTTCAGTTCCTTGTCTTGACCTCCCGCAATGGGCTTTCTGCTGACCAAGCCCGTTGACTCACAGACGTAGCCGACCAAAGCACTCAGCCAGGTACAGATTTTGGGCATTGAAATGGTGGAGCTCTCTCCACAGCTTGCACTGCTAGTTTTTCTCTTTGTTCTTGATGACGAACTCTCTACTGTTTATACAGTAGCAGAACTCACAGAAGCATAACTTACATTTCACAGCCTCCAGAGTGGACTTTACATAAACACGATGTTTCTGTTAGGCCAGCTTTATCTTCCCCCTAGAATCTGTCGGTGGTGCTTTGGAGTATTCAACTGGGCCACTGTGCGGGGGTAGGGAGTGGTGTCACAAGCCTTCCCTAACCCACCATCTCTGACCTGCACCCCAGGGCATGCACATGAATGGAATTCATCTTCTTGGTTTGGAAAAGAAGGGGATGACATTAGTGGCGAAACCTCTGTGTCGGGTTCTTGCACCGCAACTCTGAGTCATAGCTTACATCCATCAAGCCCTCACTCTGAAGAGGCTCGGGGCTAAACCTTCACAACCATTGTCTCAGTCATGTTATTCACTCTGTGCTACAGAGGAGACAGTGATCTTCACAGAAGTTAGTTCGTGGAGGGCTTTTCCCAGCCCCACCGTTGGGAGAAGAGGGGCAGGGTTAAGCCAAGTCTGACTGGAGTCCTGCTCACCTTCCCCCAGGACTGCACGGGCCACTCGCCCAGCCCTCATGGCAATGCTGAAGGCAGGTGTGATTCTCACCATTTTACCCAGGGGGAAAGGGAGGCACCAGCGGGAAAGGGAGGCTGGGAGTGGCAGTTGAATAACCTGTCCAGACCTCACAGCTAGGAAGTGGCCAAGGCAGGAAGAAGCCCACCAGCCTCTCAACACCAACAGAATTCTTTCCTCAGAAGGAATGAGGGAGGGTAGAGGGGTAAGGACATGGCATTTTTAATCCTCCTGTTGGACTGGGAGCCTCTTGAGGTCAGGGACAGTGTCTGATTCAGCACCCCACCCCCTTGGGCCCTCAACTGGCCCCACTCAGGATGTCACAAGGCCCTGTGTGCTACTGGAGGGGGTCCTGGGGTCGGTGACAGGCAGACCACAGCCTCTGGCCTGGAACGAGCAGAGAGGGGTTGGCAGGCCCATCCAGGCTGGGGGTCTGAGGAACTGTGAACGAGGCTGTGAACAGAGACCGCTGGGGTCCAGCAGGCCTGGCCACAGAAGGGAAGCTCTGCACGGTGGAAGGCAGGACCGGGTGGCAGCCCCGGGAGCAGGCCCCGCTGGCCCCTGGGAGGAGCCCTCCATGGGCCTCAGCACGACACTCCTAGGCTGGCAGCTGAGGCCTGGTACCCGTGATCCCTTGATTTGTCTTTTCTGAGCTTTCTTCACAGATACCCTAGGAAGCCTGGGGACCCAGAGCCTGCCAGGGGAAGTCATACTCTCATGAAAGAGCTAGCCAGCAAGAAACTAGAACCATGGACATGTAAGATAGGCACGCAAGTGGCGAGTCCTAAGACGGAAGCAAGCAGAAGGTGTGACAGAATACTGAGGGGACCAGGGAATGGCTCTTCCAGAGGGGACTTCTGAGTCGGAGACAGGAGCAGGGGAAGGAGCGGCCATGGGAAGCTCTGGCAAGAAGGCGTTTTTGGTGGCGAGCAATGCAAGCGCAAAAGCCCTGAGGCGTGAAAAACATTAAAGAATCTGTAGGAGGCCAAGGTGGCCAAGCAAAAGGAGAAAGAGGGACTCCGGCAAGAGATGGGCATTTCTCAGGACTGCAATGGCAGGAGAAAGAGATCCCCCTGAAGGACGTTCTAGATTCAAGCCCCTGCCCTGTGGCGACCCTGCCAAGTGGCTGGGTCAGGATCTTCCCTGTCAGGCCCAGGCCTCGTTTGCATGATGATGGGGGTAGCTTCTCAGGGTCCGGGCTCTCCTTCCCCATGTTCTCCTGTTCCCCCCATTCCCATCACCCAGATTCCGGGAGCCAGGACTGGTGTCTCCCCCACTGGAGGTTCCCAGAAGGTCTCAGGACTCCCACTGCAGTCCCAGGACGCAGGGGCTGGGCGAGAGGAAGGAAATTCTCACACAGCTTTCTCCCAGGGAGTTTGCTCTTGTTCCCAGGCTGACAACTGGCAACCCTCAGAACTCTGTTCCCCACCCCCTTCCTCCTCCTCCTCCTCCTCCTCCACCTCCTCCTCCTCCTCCTCTTTTCCCTGCCTCCCTCTCTCCCCTGCCCCCCTTCTCAGGCTTAATGACTTCCACATGGGCCTCTGGCGGCTGGAGCCAAGCCTCCCAGCATTGTCTGAAATCTCCAAATTTAGAAGAAATATGAAAATTGTCAACCACTCCTTCCTTAGGGGGTAAAAGCAACATTCTGCACCGGGGGCAGGTCAAGGCGAGGTAGTCACGTGGGGGGCGCCTGGGCCAATGGGGGACCCTGGGAGGGCTCAGCACCCGCCTCGCCCCAACACGGGGCTCGCCTCTTCAGCTCATATAAGGTAAAAGGCAGAGTGGCCTCTGTGGCCAGGGAGCCGCAGGCAAGGGACTAAGGGGAGGGGGGCTCAGTGCCAGCTGCTTAAAAATGCCCCTGTGGCAGCGAGGGGCACCAGAGGCTGGGTCTAATTAGTTGAGAAGCAGTGACAACCCCAACCACTCACCAAACAGGCTGGTTCCCATCTCCAGGCCCCAAGGAGCCACACCTGGACCAGATCCCAGGAAAGGTAAGCACCAGCAGGAGACCTGGGATCTGTGGATGGGGGCCTCTGGGACATTTCCCCAGCGGGATGCTGCATCGGGGGGTCTTGCTCTCTTGCTAACTGGCTCTGTCCTTTTCTGGACACAGATTCTCTGGGTCTCAATTTCCCCATCTGCACAGGGGCTGGAGTCAATGATCTCTAAGCATCCATCCAGCTCATCGGCTCTAATTCTGTGGTCCTGTTGGCTTCTAGGATTCCTTGTTGTTGTAGTCAACTGGGGGAAGAAGGGGCAGAGGGAGCGGACAGAGTTAACATCCTATCAGCCCGAGCTTCACCACGGCGCCCGAGTCTGGGGCAGTCTCCCCGGCTTCTACATAGGCAGTGCTTCTTCCTCATTCTATGGGGCTTTGATTTTGCAATTCCGAGAGCTTGGGGCTCCCGGCAAGGAAAACGGTTTTCAAACAATGGTTTCGAGAAACAAAGCTGGGGAAGAGGCAATGTAAGCTCAGGCTCTGGCAGGCAGGCAGAGATCCTGGGAAGGCTGGGTGCTGACTGCACATGGAGCAGTGGGAAGGGATGCTGGCGAGAGAAGACAGGGGCACTTAGGCTCCGGCCCCAGCTCTGCTCTCAGTGCCTGGCTGTGTGGTCTTGGGCTGGCCCCTTCCCCTCTCTGGGCCATAGTTTCCCCATCTGTATAGTAAGGCCATTGGACAAAATGATTCCTCTGCAGATGTGGCTTCTGAGTTGTTTGTGCCTGAGGGACAGCCAGTGTTGGGAAGTTCCCCCAGGAGATCCCTGAGCCGAGTCTGCCCTTTGACCACAAGTTTGGAGTCCAAGCAGACGAAGCCCTGTGGGAGCTTTTGGAATTTGAGCCTGAGTGAGGGAGAGTAGCTGAAGGTTCTGTGACTGAAGGCTTGGCCAGAGGGGTGCCCCGAGCCCTCCAGATGAACTTGACTGCAACCAGCCTCTGGTGGGGAAAGGACTGATCTCTGGATTCGACCACACAGGAGTGCAGGACGTGGAAGTAGGAAAAGGATGGAGAAGACAACAGAGGGCTTCAGAGGATGAAGCGGTGGGACCAGGAGATTCAGAGAAACGCAGGAGGCTTGTGATGGGAGGCAGGGCTGGGTAGAGGCAGAGGCTTAGGTTTGGAACTTGAAGATGTACAGACGACGTGGAGTCGGGCTCCTCTGAACACGCTCTGGCCATGTCCGGAGCCCAGAACAGAACACAGTCCTCTAGCACCGGCCTCTGTCAGGTACCCTCACCTTCCTGCTGCTTGTCACACAAGGCCCAAGGCCAACATGGTTCAGAAGGAGGCTCTGAATTCAACTGCCTGGGTCCAATTATGGCTTGTTTACTTAGTGGACAAGTGACTCTGGGCAAGTTGCTTGCTGTGTGAGCCTCAGCTTCCTCCTCTGTAAAATGGGTACAGTTCTGAGATTGCATGGTCGTCATGAGGAGTGAAGGATGAAGGCACATAGAGCAGGATGAATGGGGCTGATGTGACATCGCAGTCCGAGCCCACGCCGCCTGCGGGCAAGATACCCTGAGCTATGTTGAGGGAGAAGTGGGAATGGAACCCAGCCAGGGAATGCCCAGAGTTGCTGAAGGGCTCTGGAACAGGCTCTGGAAAGAGGCAGGAGGAATCGAAAGTCAGAGGCTGTGGGACACAGGAAGGTGATCAGCTTGAGATGCCTGTAGGACTGGGGGAGTCTCCTCTCCTGCCTTTCTAGGGTATTGTGTGAGCAATGTATCTGAACCACTGCACAGTCACCTGCTGACAGGGGACCCCGGGCAGGGCCTAGGAATCTGCATTACGAGCTCCCCATGAATTCCCATGCACATGGAAGTTTGGGAAATTCCAGGCTGTAGGGCAGCCTAGGACTCTCACAAACAGCTGAGGCCATGGAAGCCACAGAGAGAAAGCACCGCTTTAGGTTATTTAGCGAGCTGATGGCAGAGCTGGAACAGAACCTGCCTCTCTGCCCAGCCAGGGATTCCATAAGGTGGTGCAAATCAGGAGAAATAGATTACACTATTTGTGGAGTTCTTGTGAGCTCCAGGCATTACCTAAGATCTTCACATGAACTAATTCATTTACTCCTCACAAGAACCACTAAGGAAGGAGCAATTATTATCCCCACTCCACAGATGAGGTACCAGAGGTAAAGAGAGGTTAGGTGGCTTACCTGAGGTCACACAGCTCATGAGTTGTTAAGTCGTGTGTGCCAGCCACCCCTGGGGGTGCTAACTCCCCCAGGAGTCTCCCACCTCCTGCCCTGCCTCTTAGCTAACTCAAAACTTCCTGGGGACCCTCCAGCAGACCTCATGGAAGGGGGCAGAATATGTATGGGAGACTTCTGGGAGTCAGACACTGTGCTAAACAGCTTGCATTACCATTTAATCCGCCCAGGATTCCTGTGAGGCAGAAATCAGCATCGTTCCCTCGCCCTCACTTTCTAGAGAAGGAAGCCACTGCAGCTCACCCAATGTCACGCAACTAAAAAGCAGCCAAGGGGATTTGAACCCAGTCTATGCATCTGTAGAGCGCACACTCTTGGGCTGCCCACCGCAACACCTCTGAGGGCAGTAACGAGGAATCCCACCTCGCAGAGGAGACGGAGGCTGGGAGGGAGGCTCTGCCGGACCTGAGCCCAAGCCTTCTAGCTCTGAGGCCACTGCTCTTCCCTTCAACCCTGCTGCTTCCCCACAACAGAAAGTTTATCACTGGTCCCTCCCAGGCACACCACAGCCCTTTGGGCAAAATCAGCCCCTTCTCAGCCTGGCCAGTTCTGGGGGAAAATGACACCCAACACCTATCTTTTTTTTTTTCCTTTTCTGAAATGAGGTCTCGCTCTGTAAACCAGGCTGGAGCGCAGTGACACTTCTCAGCTGACTGCAACCTCTGCCTTCCAGGCTCGAGCGATCCTTCCACCTCAGCCTCCCAAGTAGATGGGATGACAGACGTGTGCCACCACATCTGGCTAATTTTTTGTATTTTTTATAGAGACAGGGTTTCGCCATTTATCCAGGCTGGCCTCAAACTCCTGGGCTCAAGCGATTTCCCCAACCTCAGCCTCCCAAAGTGCTAGGATTACAGGCATGGGCCACCGCACCCAGCCAACACCTATCCTTGAGGAATAGAAAGTTCCAGGCTCCACACCACACACCATCACTGACTCAAGTGGCTGTGTCTGATTCCTGGGTGAGCCTGAGGGTTTCGGGGAGGTGATCTCTGAGGTCCTCACTGCTGGGCTTTTCCTGAAATTTTCCAACGAAACTCTCCCAGGGGCTCAGCACCATGAGGTGGTTCAAAGAACCGTGATGAAGGCTGGTTTGAATTGTCGTGATGACCATTTTTGTCCACATCTCTTGGTACCCATAAGCCAGACTTTCTCTGGAGCTTATACCTAGAAGGGGTTCTGGGTCCTGGGGTGCAGGCCTGTCAACTTTACAGGAGAGCACAGGATTGCTTTCCAAAGTGGCTGAACCAGGTGATGCTCCCATCAGCAGTGTATGAGCGTCCCCATCTCCTTGACCACACTTGAAGTCATCAGATTCCTTGAAGCATATAGGCTGCACACTTCATTTTGCATGTATCAAATTTGTGTAATAAAACATGTAAGGAAGCCATGGAAATAAAAACATAGGTATGCCTTCTGCAGGCTGCTATGCTCCTGTGCACGAAGGTGTCTAGAACTTTGCCCTCCACACACAAGTTGCAGAGCACCCTCATCAGGACATTTACGAAGGCGCGGGGGTGGGATGGGAACTGCCTTTGTGGCCCTTCCCCAGCCCAGCAGTATGCGGTGGCCGGGGTCCAATCAAAGGTCGCCTGGGAGGGTGAGTTGCAGGAATTTGGGGGAAAGAGCCCAAGGTGGCTGCCGCCTGCTAACAGCTTGTCTAGACAGGTCCCGTGGGACTTCACCGCACATTGCGAGAGCCCTGGCCAGCCCCCTGCCCACTTGCAAAAGAGGCTGTTGGCAACAACACTTTACCACCAGAAACCTTTACTCCAGTTCCAAACACGCCTTAATGCACAGTGTGAATGATCCACTCTCATGGCCCACAGAGGTCCACTCATTCAGTTTGTTCAGATGAGGAAACTGAGGTTGACTCCGAAGCCTGAGGGCTTTCCGATGTGGAGTGAGTCCCTGTGCCCAGGTGATGAGGGGACCAGGCGGGTCTGGAGCAGGGCTGGGTGGGGGTCAGATATAACAGGCTGGCAGTTAGAGGTGCCAGATGTGAGCCAGGCTGCTGGGTTTGAATCCTGCATCTGCCTCACAGCAGCAGTAGGACTTCAGGCGACACATAGGTACGCTGTGCCTCAGTGACCTCATCTGTAGTATAGAGATGATTTAAGAGTACCTGTCTCATCGGTCTATTGAGTTGTCTGGATTAACTCACTAAATGAGCTAAAACTCATGAAGCCCTTGGAACAGTGACTGACACATATAAGTACTCAATAAAAAATAACTGCTAAGACCAGGCATGGTGGCTCATACCTGTAATCTGAGCATTCTGGGAGGCCAAGGTGGAAGGATCCCTTGAGCCCAGTATTTCGAGACCAGCCTGAAGGTCAACATAGGGAGACTCTGTCTCTACTATAAATGTTTAAATTAAATTTTTATAATAATAACTGCTAAAATATGATTACTAAAGACAGCTTCTTCACAGTACAAAGTGATGCTCTTCTGGGCACCAACTCTTTGGACTTTGGGGGATAAACTGCCCTTATTCCCTCAAAAATATCACCTGCCATCTATCAAGTCCTTTCAAGTACCTGGACCTTAACCCAGCACTCTGAGATAAATGCCATTATCCCTCTGGGCACACAAAGGCTCAGAAAGGTTTAGTCATTTGCCCAAAGTCACACAGCCTGTACGAGGCCAAGCTGGGACTCAAACTCAGTTCTGACTGATTCTAAAATCATGGTTTAGCTTTAGCTGCTGCACTCCAGGACCATCCGCAATGGGTCTGTGAACCAGAACTAGCTCTGGTTCTGACCTGCCTAGTAGGGC